TTTTTCCTGCAGTTTTAGTGTTGAAAATGGAAGCCCAGGTGTCATTCCTCAGTGCTCTGTGGCAACAGGGAATTTTAGATCTGGAAGATAGAAGGGAAGGTGGCAATGCTCTATGGAGGCAAGACTCTGTGCATGCTGTGAAAAGAAAGTGAATCTCAAACAACAGACGCACAAACTGAACTTACCCACCAGGCCCTGAAACTCCCAGTAGCTCCCTAGAAACAAAATGCACTGCACAGATTTGAACTCTGTGTTTTGTAGCTGTCAGTGAGCCCCAAAAGTAACACACTCAAGCCCAGTTTTCCAGCTGGAAGCTCTGCTGGAGCACAGCTCTGCTCAGAGCCCTGCTGCCCACTCCTCCCCACAGCCTCACCTCATTAGGAGTCATGGAGTCACTTTTAAGTAGGATCAGGTTTTGTGCACTCTGCCCACTCTGTCCTGTCAGATGCCTCTCAGTCACCACTGCAGAGGGAGCAGTTCCTGGTGGGCCACAGGTATTGTAAAACATAAAAGTGTCACTCCCCGAGCCTGCAGTCAGGCACGCCTTGTAGCAGTAGGTCTTGGTGAGAGACCCATTGCCCCTCACCTCAATGAAATGGGGCTGTACTTTCAAACCATGGGGCAGCCTGGCATCGATGTTGTTGTTGGCCTGCTTGTACAACTCAGCAGGGCTCCGTTCTCTGACCCCACAGAACCCCCCTGCACAGCAGGAGCCCCCATACAGGCTGTATCTGTAGCACTTGATGACAGCCAGCCCGATGATGGTGAAAAGGAAAACGAAGGAGATGGCGCTCAGAGCAATGATGAGATAAAGAGTGATCTCTGAGTAAGTGCTGGGACTTTTATAGTGCCTTCTTGTATCAGGGATGATTTTGGAAACTCTGTCCACCACGGCAATGGTGATGGCTACTGACGAGGACATGGGTGGCTCTCCATTGTCTCTCACCTCCACCGTCAGGTTGAAAGTAGGTGTGCTATCCTCCCCCAGTTTGCGAGTAGTCCTAATCTCCCCAGTATGGAGCTCTATCCTGAACAAACCTGGATCTGAGGTTTGCACCAGGTGGAAGAACAACCAAGCATTTTGTCCCGAGTCCCCATCGATGGCTATAATTTTGGTTACCAAATATCCAGCATATGCCGAGCGTGGGATCATCTCCAGGGCTGCTGAAGTGTTGGTTGAGGTAGGATACAGAATCTGTGGAGCGTGGTCATTCTCATCCACCACATAGATACAGACAGTAACAGTGCTGCTCAGCGGTGGGATCCCAGCATCCTGAGCCTGGACAACCACCTGAAACTCCCTTAGTGTCTCATAGTCAAAGGACCTGACAGCATACATGTTGCCACTGTCGGATTTAATGGAGACATAGGAGGTGACAGGCAGCCCTTCAATGTCCCCATCTAGTAAAGAATAGGACACGTAGGCATTTTCGGCGACATCTGGGTCAGTGGCTTTGATAGTGCACATCAAGGCTCCAATGGGGTTGTTCTCAGGGATGTAAACTGAGTACACAGGTTCATCGAAGTGTGGAGGATTGTCATTGATGTCTGAGATCTCCACATGGATCACCTTCTGGGAGGAGAGAGGGGGGCTCCCAGAATCAGTAGCAGTAACTGTGATGTTGTAGGCTGCTGCTTTCTCGTGGTCCAGTTTGCCCTGGGTGATCAAGGTGTAGGAGTTCTTGAAGGAGTTGAGTGTGAAGGGGAGGTCGGGGGGAATACGCAGACTGACCTGCTTGTTCAGCCCAGAGTCCTGGTCAGTGACACTCATCAGGGCCACCACAGTTCCTGCCTTTGCATCCTCTGGCACTGGGCTGTACAGGGAAGTCAGGACCACCTCAGGAACATTATCATTGGCATCCACAATGTTGACAAGCACCTTGCAGTGCCCAGCCATAGAGACAGGGCCCTGATCAGTGGCTTGCACGTAGATCTCATAGAAGGATGCCTCTTCATAGTCCAAGGTACCATTAACCCGAACCTCTCCCGAGTGTGGGTCCACAGTAAAGAGCTGCCTCACTTTCTGTGGGGTGTAGCTGCCGAAGGAATAGATCACATCCCCATTGGAGCCCTCATCAGGGTCTGAGGCATTGAGTTTAACCACTAGTGTGCCAGGTGGGGCATTCTCCAGAAGGCTCACGGTGTAGGTGGAACGGTCAAAGGCAGGAGGGTTGTCATTGGTGTCCACAACTCGCACGGAGATCTGGGCCGTCCCAGACCTGGGGGGGCCCCCCCCATCCACAGCAGTGAGCACCAGCTGCTGCAGGGCACTCTGCTCCCGGTCCAGGG